TGGGCACGAGCTGAAAGCTACAAGCATCATTTTGTGTCAATTTTCAGACCTGCTGCCTCCCCTCAAGCCTTGCTGTAACATTTTAGGTACAAATGTCAAAAGGTCCCAATCAGGAATGATAAAAATGCCAGCACCTCTGACAGCTTGCATCTGGGTTTGGCTCATTCTTTTTTTTCCTGAAGCTTTTTCTTGTCTTTCAGTATGGAGCTTGAGCCCATGTTCCCTTTTCCCAAAAACTGATCCAGCCACTTACGGGATTCTCAGTGAGATCATTCAGGAAATATTTCCAGTTGATCCAGTTGGAGGTCTTTGCTTGGGATTTTTTTTTTTAATTTATTTATTTATTTTGTCCTGTGCTTGGCATCAGTTACAGGTGCTTTTCCTATTTTGGATGGAAAGGATATTAAGCAGTATTCCTAAAGGTCCTTTTGGCCTTTTTTTTTCCCCCTTTTAATTTGCCAAAAAAGCTTTTGATGGAACATCCTCCCCTGGCCCCCAGTCTGACAGGATTCCCTGACCTGCATAACGCTGTCCAGATTGAAGCATGAGAAACATTTTGAAAATGAACTATGCTGGAGTCTGAGAGTTATTAGCTGCCAAGAAATCCCAAAAGCTTTTAAACCTTGTTTGCAGCTGCAGAGTAGGAAACCTAGGTGCTATTCATAGAGGAATTCAACAGGAACTGTAAATTCAAGGCAACTTGCTGCTAAAACACAAAGGTAAAGAATTAAAACAGACTTAAGGAAAGAGCAACCCCAGCCATTACCATGCCAAAGTGACTGATTGAAAAGGAAGTTTGAAAAATTTCAGTATGCCTGGCTGGGATATAAAACTCAGACTGAGGTAAAACAGCACATTCTCTAAAATCATGTGTCCTTTGCAGCTGGTTGTAGACCAGGGCTGAGAGAGGAGGTTGAGGGGCTTGTTAGCAGTCCAGGATGGGAGATTTCTGTTATGCAGATGGAACAGGAGAAGTGGAGGTGGTTCTGGGAAAAGACCAGACTCAATCAGCCCAAAATTGCCAGAACTTTTTAATCCTTGGAAAAGGCCAAGTTGGATGGGGCTCTGAGCAACCTGGTCTAGTGGAAGGTGCCCCTGTCCATGGCACAAGGGTTGGAACTGGATGACCTTTAAAATTTCTTCCAAACAAAACCATTCCATGATTCTCTAAATAAACATCTTCATCGATGAATCAAACACTACTCAGTGCAACAACACTACACACTTTATTTGCTGTACCATCAGAAAACTGCTCCTTTACAATTAAAGAAAAAGAAATTAGAGTGAATATTTGAGGTGGGTTCATAACTAAGGGCTGTAATGAGCACTTTTTGACAATCAGAAGTCACTGGAGCATGCTGGCTGTATAGAAGGGTGTAGAAGGTGCTCACCAGCCACTGCCCAGACTGTGAGAATGGGCACAGCCATTCGATTTTCATTTCCCAAATGAAAATTGGGAATTTTCAGGCAGAGCAGGAGCAGGCACACAGTGAGTTACAGCTTTTCCCTTCCAGCCCAGCCCCGAGCCCCTGCCTGGTGGAAAACACCCTCATTCCCCCCTGCCCTGCTGCCTGCAGAGCAGCCAGCAGCCCCAGCCAGCAAGGGAATAAACTGTGAACACCTTTCAGGGAATGATCTCATCCCGAACAAAAGTTAAATAAAACAACTTGATAAATCACCCTTCCCCTGTGTGCACCAGCACACAAAAAACCAGAGTCCTCCTGTGAGCTGAAGTGAGCAGCTGTTCCAGGGTTTGAGGCATTTTTAGGGGGAGAGGAGCTTGATTTTCAGATGGATCCTTAAGTGCAGCCTCTAAAAAATCAGGTCCCATCAAGTTACCTTATGCTCAACAGAAGCATCCCAAATGAACTTGTCACTTGTCACCATCTCTTCCAAGGACTCCAGAAGGAGAAACAAGACTCTTAAGGCAGGAGAATACTTTTGCACACCTGGCTTGTACTACTTTAAGGAAAATTACTCTCAAGAGCTAATTAAAATGCATTATTTCCCCCCTCTAGCTGTATAGATTAATCTATTTCATTTTCAAAATCTCATTTTTTCCCATCACTTCAAGTATTCAGGAGAGATTACATTATTACAATCACAACTTGGCCTCGGTCCCAGAACACAGAGATGAAGAGAGAAAAGGCTTTTGTTGAGGACACGCACACACACTCACACACACACTTTAGACAAAATGAAAGCACATTAATCAGCTAATAGGGAGGGGGGGGGAAATTTAAAGTCTTATGACAGAAGTATCAAAAATGAAAGATTTCTGCTGGAATGTAGTGTCAATGTAAAAGCAAAAAGACCAGGGTATCTCATGGAAAAGTATGAAGCGCTTTTTTTTTCTTTTTTTTTTCTTTTCTTTCTTTTTTTTTTTTTTTTTTTTTTTAACTAGGGAAGAACAGAGACCTTGGTCTTTCAGAAGCAACCAAATGAAAAGAACATTTTTCAAGGGCACAGCAGCGGCACTGGGTGGTTCAGGCCAATATTATGTTCAGGTGAAATCAAGATCATTAAGATAATATGAAGCCCAAAGAGGTTAAAAAACTACTGTTGCTGTGGCAGTTTTACTGCAGTGAAAGAGCTGTGAGGGAAAAGCAAAAAGAGAAAAACCACATGATGTATTAAGATGCTTCATTAGAGAGCAGGTACTCAAACTTTCCCTGGAAGAAACAAATCCCCCGAGGCGAAGGGACCAGATTTTTTGGTCAGTTATGCCAAAGTGCTTTCTTTAAAATGAATGCAAGCCCTGGGAAGTTCACAGAGTTAAAGGAGAGCAGAGTGCTGTCCCTGCAGGATGCCTCCTCCCATCTCTGCTGTTCCCCCTCTCTGCAGATGTTTGGGGAGGGGGAGAGGCTCAGGCTGTGGTTGCACATCTATTAATATCACATCTGCTGTGCTCTGAGGTTTCGTGGCAGGGCAGATTCGATCTGGATCAAGCACAAACACATTTTTGCTGAATTAGCCCGAGCACATGATGGGATGTGCTGCAGCTTTGAGTTAGCTGGCCACGTTATGTCAGCCTGAAGCTGACACACTGCTCTGGGCTTGGAAAAAAGGTTCCCAGGATCAAGGTATGCCACAAAGCTGTCAAATGCATTTGAACCAGGTGCTAAATTTGTACCAGATCAGGAGTTTCCATCACAGGGATCAAGCTCTTTTGATCCACTGCTGGGCACCTTAAATCCAGGTGTGTCAGCTTGTGAGAGCAGCCTCCAAATCCCAAACCCATGTGTGTGAGATAGTCACCATTCCCCAAAACCCAGAGCCAAGAAGTTAAAGAAAACAAACCGGGCTAGATGTAAGTTTTATAAGCATTCCTTTTTCTTTTCCTTGCTGCAACAGGGGCTGGTTCCCTGTGGGCACAGGTCAGGGCAGGGATGCTGCTGCCTTCACTGTGCATCTCCCCACGAGCCTCTGGCTGAAGGGCTGTCTCAGGGAAGGGGCAGCACATCAGAGCAGTGAGAAATGAATAAATATTCTATTTTGTCGGAAGGATTTGGGTTTTTAAATTATATATTTAGCGAAAACACAAATAATTCATGAGTGTTTTCAAATACATGAATAATTCAGGCTGGAACCGAAATAGCTAAATCATCAGGGCCATCATCCTCATGAAGGCATCCAGGATAGGTTATTTCAAGTACATTTCACTGCAGACTGGCACGTGCACAAATTCACTAATAAGCAGCTGCATCCCTGCCTTTCAGCTCCCACAAACCCCAGCCAGTCACAAATCCCTGACTCAGGGTGCCAGGCCTAGAGCTGAGATGCATCTGAGCCCTAATTGAGCCATGGCTTTAAAAGCAGGGACAGAACCAGTTTGAAATCCCATTTTATAGCTCCTCAAACCACATCTGAACCATGTGGTACATGTGTGGCATTTAAAGAACAAATTATCTGAGCACCATACAAATGTTTCACTAACAGCTAACTCCAAGTTCTAGCAACCAGCATTCCTGCCTGCATATTTGTGGCTGACATTGTGTAGACTTTGAGGCATGTGTATTTGTTAATTTGAATTCTGTGTATTTTGTGGGCATTGAGGGTGTAATACTGAAACCATAACTTCATTGTGAAAAAGTTTGCACTTTTGCGTATATATGGAGATGTGGTACGAGCTGGACAGCCAGATACCTTAGCAAGAATTCTCAGAACAAGAAAAATCTCAGGTTTTTAAGTAATTTTGTGGCATTGAGGGTCATGGTTTAGTGGTGGACTTGGCAGTGCTGGGTTAACAGTGAGCCTTGATGACCCTAGAAGTCTTTTCCAACCTTAATGTTTCTATAAATCTAAGTACCTTTTAATGACAGTTGCTGTCATTAGAAGATGGAGCTGAGCATTGCTGGCTCTAAGCATTTTGACAAAGAACATCATTCTGGTTCTTGAACTCCCAGCGTATCACCAAGATACCCCTGTGGCAATGGGGACATGGTGACAATGGTGACAATAGTGACAATGGTGACATTGGTGCACCCCATGGGCAGCACCCCCAATCACCCTGTGTGGCTACAGCCAGAGCCCTGAACAATTACCAAGGAGCACAGGCAGCTTTTAGAGAGCAATAATTGAGTGAGCAGCTGTCCCACATGGCCTCCTGCATCCCACTGCAGCAGAAAGTTATCTGGCATGGGTTACACAGCTGCTCTTTGGCCAGAGACAACAGGGACAGCAAGAAAGGGTTTTTGGAAGGAAGCTGTAAGTCTAATATTTCATTCAGAGGAAATGAAGGAGCTACATTGTGGTATTGACTTATATCTGATGGCATTTCACATTCTCTGCTTGTCACCCCAGCTGTGTCTCTGCTTTGGGAAAACCTGGGGCTCAGAACCACCAACAGAAAAGCATTACATGGCAAATGCCTGACACTGAGTGTGCTGGAGGCACTTCTCTAACCCTCTGATCTTGGGACACATAACAGCTCATTCATTCTCTCTCTCTTTTTTCAGTTTTGCAGGAATTCCCCCATTGTAAGGAGCCCTTGACCTTACCCCCATTCCTTCTGCTACCGCCTGACATCTTCCCATCATATGTTCACAGTGTGTGTGTCTTCAGTGAAAAGCAAACCACTGCTGCTGCTCCAGGGCCCCAAAGAAAACCTGGAGAAAGGAAGAAAGAAAGAGAAACCTCAGCCTCACTGGTTCTTCCCAGAGATGTGTTGCTCCAGCAACTGGAAGTCAAACAATGATGTCAAGAAGACAGAGCCAGGCACTTGGAGTGCAGCGTCCAGTCGCCACAGCAACTCATTCTTGAAGTGATGCAGGGAGGTTTTCTTTTCTCACTAGTAGAAAAATATGAGTGAGCAAATGAGTGTAAAGGATGTTTACCTGGGGCTGGGGGTGTTAGTTTAGGGGGCTGGGATGCAGCACCCTGCCAAAGGGCCAGGGCAGGGAGGAGGAGGAGGAGGAGGAGGAGGATGCTGTTCTCTCCCAGAGGAGCGGAGCAGCTGCTTGGAAAGGAATTGCTTTGCTCTTCCTTTCACCAAAGGAAATGCCAGAGAAGCAAACTCTGCTGCCAGATGCCACATGGACACCAAATGTTCCCCACTGGCTCCCCCCAGCCCGCGGGCTCCTGCTCTCGCTTTCCTCCCTGAGCTCCCTCAGCTGTTGCAGACCCATCTGTCCCACACTGGGCAGCTCCAGGCTTCAGACAGGGAGGACAGGTGCTGGGGGGGTGGGGGGACCCTTGGGCCACCCCTGAGCTTAAGCCCTTTCCCAGCTTCCTGCATGGCTCTTTTGTTTGGGGCCATCACTTTGTGGCTCCCCAAGAAATGAAATCTGTGGCAAAAAGACGCAGCTTTACAATTTCACTGCAAATCAGAAACCTCCCCCAGCCCTCTGCCCCACAAAGGGCTAAGAGGGGAGGTTGAGTGGAGCTGTTGGGGGATAGGACATGGCCAATTTTGGAGGTGACAGCCAAGGTTTTTGTTGACAGAGCATTTGCTCACATAGCTCCTTGCACTTTGCTTCCCAGAGCTGCCATCCATCCGTGTGGATGTAGGATTCAGGAGACACCTCCAGCTCTGGCCCCTGCTTGAAAAGCACCACAGATCTCCTGAGGAGCTGCTTTATCCCCACGTGCCTGTGAGGAACAACCTGATTAACTCTTGCACTGATTCATCCTTATCCATTTATCTAACACAAACCATTCCTTACTCCATTAGGCCCTTGCTCTCACTGAGTAATCCCCGGTTGTATCATGCTTTGGAATTAGTCTGCAAGGTCCTCAGGGCAGGGATCATGCCTTGGAAGGTGCCTCACAGACTTTAGGGCCGTTGCTAAATTAATAAGAATGTAATAAAAGTATTAGAGCTCTACCGAGGGAAGCATTGTTATGCCCCAGAGGCAGCATATCTGGTTAACAACCCTGAAAAGAAATGCCAACAACATTAGCCTCTGCCCCTACATCCCTCCACCTAATGTAAAATTAAATAGCTACAAATTACCTATCTATTTTTCTATCTGCCTAGGCAATTAGCCCGTGCTCATTACTGGACATGTGGGGATACATCCAAGCTCACCAAGATGGGAGGCATGACACACAACGAGGCAAGAGGAGATGCTCTGAGGCTTCTGCTGCCTTGTAAAACACACCATTAAACCACAGCACGTTGGACCAGCAGCAGAGGTCAGAAAAAACCTGCGAACTCTGGCAGGAAAAGTGTCCAAAGAGCAAACTGAGAGCCAAGGGCAGCAAACAGGCTGTGAAAGTTTTCTCAAGGGTGTGGGCAGGACAGAGAGGAGCAGCCAGGGATGTTTATTCATATGGGAAAGGCAAACACCAAGCTATAAGCAAATGTGGCATTTATTTGCAGTTAAGCTCGTGCATACATCTCCATGAATTGGAGGTGCAACCCCACTGACAGGGAGCCTGCTGCCAGTGGGGCATTGTCAGGGATAAATCCATGGAGCTGCAGCCAGGGGACAGCTGAGCATCACACAAAACGTCCTGGAAGGAAATTCAGGGTGACGTTTTTCAGTCAGCAGCACAGACAGGACTCCCCTAGGCCTGAGCTGAATTTTGGAGCCCCCACTCCCCCCTCCATGAGCCAAGAGCTCTGCCTCAAATCCAGTGTTTCAATCCAGTTAAGTTCAAGCCCTCTGCTCTGCTTGACAGCAATGCTGTATTTTTATTCAGGGCAGGATCAGAGGTCTGATGAAACCTCACGTTGCCAGCATAAAAGAGGAAGGAGCTTCAGCTAATCCCAAGGAAAATGAAGCCCACCTCTTCCACCCCACACCCCTCCTGAAAAGGGAGAAAATGCAAACCCCACATTTGACTCTCTTGGAAGAGAAAATGTCCTGCTGTCCTCAGATGGTTAAAGCATGCAGCTTTAGTGGGCTGCAGAAGGAATAGCAATTACATCCCCTTCACCTCTTGCCAGTTTGGGCTCTTTGTTTTTTGTTTGTTTTTTTTTTTTTTTTTTTTTTTTTTTTTTTTTTTTTGGGGGGGGTTTTTTTTTTTTTTTTTTTTTTTTTTTTTTTTTTTTTTTTTTTTGGGTGGGGGTATTTTGTTCTAAATCTTTCAACTGTTTTTGTTTGGTTGGGTTTTTTTCCCAGCCCTTCTTATGGGGGGAAACATTCTCACCCTTCATGAAAAAGGGTGGTTTAGATGTGGAAGAAAATAAGAGGAGGGAGTTCACAGGCTGCTTCAATGTCATTTAACAAATATGGCAGAAAATGGAAGAAAGGAAAGAAAAGAAACAGGAAAGGAAAGAAAAAAGGAGAGAAGAAAGGAAAGAGGAGGGAAGGGAGAAAGAGCGAAAGGAAAGGAAAGGAAAGGAAAGGAAAGGAAAGGAAAGGAAAGGAAAGGAAAGGAAAGGGGAAAGAAGAAAGGAAAGAGGAAAGAGAAGGGAAGGGAGAAAGAGAGAGAGAGAAGAAGGAAAGGAAAAGGAAAAGGAGAAAGAGAGAGAGAGAGAGAGAGAGAGAGAGAAAGGCCAGGTCTTCGGTGGAGTTAGCCTGGCCATATTAAAGGAGCAGGTGTTGTACTGAGTTAATTTATCTGGGAGGGGACCTGAGCAAATCCCAGCAGCCCTGCTGAGAAAAAAGCTTTGTGTGCTGACACAAAGCCCTCCCTGCTGCAGCGCTGCTCTTGCTGCCTTCCCTTCCCTGCTCCCCAGCTTCTCCTAATTGCAGGGCTAATGTCCTCTGACAAGTGCCTCAGATGGTCCAACAACAGCCCTATCACCCATTCCCCATCCCTGATTATTATGATTTTCACAGCCCAAACCCCTGCCGACCCCGGGCTGCTGCTGTTGATTATTCTCCAGCACAGCCCTGTCTGCTGAGGAGCTGCAAAATCCCCCCTGTGCCACGCTGAGCACCCAATTGCTTGGCTGCTGTGACACTGCTGCAATTTCTGGCACGGGGAACGGTGCTAAGGGGGTTCCAGAGATTCCTCTTTTGAGGCTGCAGGCCCAGGAGCCACATCAAAGCTGGGTGTTTGTCTGATGTTTGCTTGGAATGATGGTGTTGGAGGGAGGGGGCCTATCTGCCTGCCATGCCTGGAATATGTGAGTTATTGGCACAGCCCCCAGCCACACCACAGGCTCTGTGTCAATTAAAAAGGGGATCTGGAGAGCAGCAAGCCCAGGCAAGCAGAGATGGGGAGCAAGTTTATTTATGAAGGGATTGAAATAGGTAGATGGTCTTCATATGAGGTCAAGAGGAACAACGTGACAAAATATTCTGTTGACAATGAAAAGAGAATTGCATTGTCTTGGCATTTCTCACTCCCAAATCCATGCCCAGAAACCAGCATTGCCCTGAGATCTCAGGCTTTTACACAAAAATCACAATTTCCACCAAGGCCACACCACCCACCCTCGATGCAACCACTTTTACAAAGCCCAAAATATGGAGCAAATATCTCCAGCAGCCCCACTGTGCTTTGAGGCTTCTCTTCTTCTACTTGGAGAACTTTCCTCTGGGAACAGAGGCAATCATGGCAGCAGAAGGGAAGCCAACACCTTCAAGAGCTGAGCATTAAGATGTGCCACAGCACCTCTGCTGCTTGGCACCACAGTGAAATGGATGCTCTGGGAAGGGAGAGGCCCTGCTCCCAATGCCTCCAGAAGATGCATGGAGTGTTGCTGGAATAACCTCACATCCACAGCATCCACAAGAGGGGACAAATAGGGTGGGAATGGGGTCCCCTGGCCATCCCCAGCTGAAATCATGCCCTTGCATCAAAGGGTTCCTTCAATGGGAAGGAGAGAGGCAAAGATTTCAGGACACCAGCAAGCAGCAAAGGGCATCTCACTCAAAAAGTGCTCAGGGGTTTCGTTGCACAAAGCAAAAATAAAAGGCAGGCCCTTTAAAGTACAGTGAAAGGAAAATCGTGTTGGGGAGGAAAAGGAGGGGCTGTGGAAAGGGATGAGAGCAGCTGGAGAAGAATTCCAGCGGGACAGATAGACAGGCAGTCACACAGCCTCTTAATTATTTAAAAAATAAACTAACACAGAAAAGGACGTCCTGGGGAGGAGGGGGAGGCAGAACCTCAGGGTTCCCATCAATTATGCACAAACCAGCCCAGGGACACTGTGAAAAAGGGTCCTGTGGGCATGGTCAGGGAAATGTCACCAGGAGCTGGCCCCAGGTGACACAGCAGTACCTTGGTGACCCTTGGTCGCCCCTGCCTCATTGTGCTGTGCAACTCGAGCTGGCATCCACACGAGGAAACAAAGGGACACAAAGGCTTGGCAGAGGTTTGTGTTTCTGATTGCACTGCAGCAGTTTCACCTGGCATGGACAGCCTGGAGCCCTCCTGCTTTCTGAAACAGTGACCACAACAAACAGCTGGGTGTTAAATGGAAACCAACCTCATCCAGGTAAGCAAAGCTACACAGGAAATAAATCTGTCCTAACTGATCATTTCTCCTGACTGGAGCATCTCCTCCAGAGCTGCAGGTTCCAAGTTCTTAACAGGATCATGTCACACACGCTGCTCCTGGGGACTGCACAACATGATTTTTCTTGGCTAAACAGCCACCTACACTGCTGGATTTCAGATCTCTTTTTTTCCAAGAGTTGCATTAACAGAAAACCACCAAAATATGACAAAGTGGAAAAAGTATTTCTTCCCAGATTTAATGTTTTTC